TTTACAAGCGAGGGACATAGAAAATTTACAAACATTTAAAGCCGGATATACTTGGCTATATACTTTTAAAAAGATGTTTAGATTAGTGTCCAGAAAAATTACCAGATTTGTAACCACAAATATGGTAAATCGAGAAGACGATATTCATTTACAATGCAGCGCATTCGTGAATGAAGTAAAATCATATATAGCCCGAAATGAACTACACAATGTTTACAATTCCGATCAAAGTGGTTTTAATTTGGAATTACATTCAGGGCGCACTTTGGCTGAAGAAGGTATAAAAATCGTAGAAGGAGGTGTTCAATCAGTGTCATCCACCACTCATAGTTACACCATCCAGCCAACCATTTCAGCTGATGGACAATTACTGTCACCATTATTTATTGTACTGAAAGAGAGTACAGGACATTTCGGGCCGATTGTGGAACAACATTTATTTCGCCCTGACAATGTATATCTTGTAGCTTCAAAGTCAGGCAAATTAACTACGGACCATTTCAAGACCTGGTTAAGAGAGATTTACTTCGCAAATACTGGGGCCGCAACAGTTCTAATTCTTGATTCCTGGAGTGGTCACTGTAAGAAGACGGTGAACGAAGTTACTCCCGAGGGTAAAAATGTAAAACTTTTTATAATACCAAAAGGTGGAACAAAGTATGTTCAACCACTGGATGTTTACGGTTTCCGCACTTGGAAAAATTTCGTCCGCCGATTTTCCGATATAGTTCTCGTTTTAAATCACGACATTAATCTCCACGCTAGGAATAATATAATTAAACTTCAATCTCTGGTCCACAATCAATTTTCATCGCCAAGGTTCCAAAATTTTATTAAATACTCCTGGTATAAATCCGGATATAATAGATGAAAAGCCAAATGCATTCCAGAATCCTGTTGAGTACTGCTATTCTGTTGAAAATGAGCCAACATGTCATATTTGCGGTGATGTGGCAATAATTAAATGCGCATGGTGTAAGAAATCTTTATGTTTCAAACATTTTTTCGACGAGTACCACTATTGTCGGAACTATATAGAATAATTGTTATACACACTGCATATATTTATAATTTATAAATCGCTCCACCTTTGCCACGATGTCATAGGTGGGCAATAAAAATAATTAATCCTTTCGTTGCTGTTAAGAAACTTGTTACTGTTATTATTACTCGCTACTTATTACTGTATAATTTAGTGCAAGCCTACAGTGCTTCATTAAAATCAAAGTTAGAATGGCTACTACCATAATGAATGTGCGCGCAAGATGTAAATCATCAAAATCTGCAAAACTGTAAGAAGCAATTTTAAAAAATCGCATACCAATGGATTTGGAATAAAATGCTCGTCATTTTTTGTCATTATGAAAATTTCAATAAAATGAAAAATTAAGTTAATAAATTTTTTTTTGTTATAAACAAATTGTATTTTTTTAAATTTTTTAACACCATGTTATTGTACATAAGAAACCATTAACCTCGCCCATTAACAATTTTTTTGTATCTCTTTCCATTTTCGAGATAGCCGTTTCGAGCCAAAACTTCAAGGGGTGGTTTCACCCCTTAAACTCGAGTTACCGCAGCTAAAAAAAAATACGTGTCGATTATTTTTGGCTGCTTTATAAGTGTACAAAGTTTCATCAAAATCGAAGCCGGACCGTTCGCGATGGTTCCTTGTGAGTGTCCTTCGGTGGTCCTTACGTTCAACTCTCTTGGAAAATACATTGCCGCTAACATGTAAATATAAATTAATTGGAAATAAAACAAGTTAATCTACATTCAAAGAAGAAAGGCTTGATGATGAATGTAGATGACCGAAGATGATTTTTCAAGTGTTTGAAATCATCATTTTCAGTAGGGGCGGTGTCAACTTCCATTCATTTTCAAATGATTGATTTTAATGAGTCAGCGTTTTTTTAAATTGCTAAACAAAGAGAACAAATAGGACAGTATTTTCAAATATTTTCAGATTAAAAAATTTAAAATTACAGTGAAATTCATTCGGTTGTTTAGACCCAATAGTATTATGTAATAGTATAAATATTTGAACGCACGTTCAGCAGAGGCCAGCAGAGGGATGCAGAGGCATGCAGAGACCAGCAAGGGCAAGCAGTAACAAGTAGTAATCGTTATACGTTGTCAGAAGTATCAGAAGTGGTCAGCAGCGGTCGACAGAGGCCAGCGGAGGACTGTAGGAAAATTCAAAAGTACATGTACTCGTACCCTATACATCGTACTTTTTACCTTATACTTCAGGTAAAAAGAAGTATAACTGGATAAAACAGTTTTATGACATTACCTGCTAACTCAAGTGTTAATAATATACATATGTGTGCTCATACATGGGAATAAAAAAAAATTTCTTTTTTTTCAATAATTAAAATATGATCAGGAGGTCTTAAAACGTGTATTTCCGTAAAATAAATTTTACAAAATTTTTTTTTCATTATGGGTACTTTGCTTATGTGCGCCTACATAGATCGGAAAGTAAAAATGCCTGGGCAGTCGAGAATCTCGGCTCGAGAATCCAAATCGTATGCCGTTGACGGGAGGTCGGATTTCAGTTGTTTAGAGCGAGAAGGCAAATGTGAGCCTTTCTCTCTCGACTCCCACGAGGCGATCCGAAATTACTTCGGGCAGCTTCGGAGAATCGAGAAAGAGGGCATGCGTCAGTTTGCCTTTGTCGACTTTCCGAAACTCCACGAGCTCACGTACGCGTATCTGGCATGTGTGCGTGTGCACCCGGCGGTGCTTTTCTGGCATCTCTGCTTGTTGTTATCGTTACACGTATAACGGTGTATCTTCATTTATTTCACTTGATACAAAGAGTAGGAATGGGCGGCCCACTGTGGGCCTACTACACGCGACGCAATACGTGGAAAAAACGTGACCACGTGTTTCAACAAAGACGATTTCCACATATCCTAGCAGACTCTGCCTTAGACGCCGGGATATTAGGAGTCGATCAAGGATCATTTTATATGCAAATGAAGGTCGGTGAGTGCTTGCGAGAGGAAGGTCCCTCTAGCGGCGAGTACGGGAAGCGATGGAGACCCCAATACATAGTCTTCCATATCTGAATATTTTACTATTCGAAGAGTCTATTATCCGAAGATTTTGTTATTCAAAAAAAATTTGTGCCATGTTGTTTGAATAGCAGAATGTTCCAACAGTAGAGTGTTCGAATAATAAGATATAATTTATATCAGGATATCAAGAAGAATCGATGCCTGTTCGATACTTTTACGAAAGTATCAGTAAGTATATGAGGGCCCAGGTATGATGAAGATGCACGACTCCAGACGTCCTTCCTCCTTGGATGCTCCAGATGGAATGCAAATTTTCGGACACAATTCTATTTATACGTTTTATAAAATGTAGCAAAATGGCGGGGAAAAGTCCTATCAACGTTTCGACAGTTAATTTAACTGTTTATTTTTTACGAAATATATTTTTATAATAATAACTGTACCACTACTTTTTGTACATAATTATAAACAAAATAAATAAAACTGTAACTTTGTCATTGTGAAATTTTTAGACCATTTCGACTTAGACGTACAGTTTATAGTGTATCTAGATCGAATTACACACATTAAAGTACACACATAAATAGAAATATTTTATTTAAAATGACACTCGTTCGACGTCTATGGATAAGTTGATTTTATACGAATAATATAACTTGTAGACATTTCTAACATATATGGATAAAAAAATAGAAATTTTCTCGAATTTGCCAGAAATTTTTGGAATTCCGGCGAGGAGCTAATGATGCGTTTTTGTATGGACATTTTGTTTAATCCAAATTTACCATCTTTTCTATAATTATCACAAGATACTAGATCATTTTTCGTGTATTCTGAATCCTCGACACCTGAATATTTTGTCAATAAGTTACAAGTATATTTTAGTTGCTGATTATAGAAATAACAATACAGTTCATAGTTATTGAACAGCAACATTGTATAATTACTAAAAATCATTTCACTTTGTTCAATATTTCCCTTCAAACCAGAATTTTTTTCTTCCCCTTCATAATTAAACTTTCTCTGCAAATGCTCTGATTTTATTTTGTATTTTGCAATCAATTCGGATTGGAATGTACAGTGATTGCTTTTGTTTATTATCATTCTATCAAAAACATAATCTGTATAACTGCTTGCAATAGCTTTCAAATACATACCAGTTGAATAGACATTGTGTATTCTGTGGAAAGTCATATAAATTAAAATACAGGAACTTTGAACAAAGCAGATTCTTACTTACATATTATTCCATATTTTTATGCATTTTTTTATATGCTCGCGTATGCATACAATAAGTATCATACAGCACACAAACACAAGGGCATAAATATGTTTAAGCATAGCTTTTACTGTCAGCATCGTTTTGCATAAAGTACAATTTCTTGCTGTAATGTGTAAAACATTTTCCATTGTTTTTGTTCTTGTCGCAATGTTATACGCAATTTCAGAACTCCAATTTTGTTGATAAAATAATGTAGCTAAATAAAATGCATAAATTATATGCATATATTTTATAATTCTATACATGGAATTTACCTTTTTGTACCAAAATATTCGAGTCATACATATTACTCGTACACAAAGCCATCCATAATCCGAATCCCCAAAGAAACAAAATATTCCACGATATATAACGCGATCTTTTTCGCCTAAATAATTTTATGTACTGACTAAGCATTGCACGAGCAATATTATTTAAAAATGTCTATCTTTCTCATTGGTAAATAATTATTTATCAACATTTTTTCGAACGAGAATCACAAATATTCGGTCAAAATAAATTTTGCGATGATAGGTCAATGACAAATCGAAATGTTACATGAAAAAAAAAGACAATCTACGATGGTCATTACAGCAACAATTTCATGTATGTTTCGTTGCATCATTTATTAAATGTTAGTAGTTTAAAATTCAAAACAAGGACATAAATTAGTATTATGACAAACGTCTTAAGTATACTGAATAGAATTTGGAATGTGCAGTATCTCAACAAGACTCGATACTTTGAATCGGCAGCTTATGATTATTTCAAAATTACAAAATATGGATAAGGAATTTGATGTACATCCACATATGACTCATTGCAAGAAGGTGAATATAATAAATCATACGTTATTGATTCATGAAAAAGAAAGTACGTAATGTGTGAAAAATAATATTTTTTTTTTGCAGTGTAACATGCAGAATTTTAATAAGCTTTGTCATTGTGCATATCACATTTCGTCTTTAAAAGAACAGTGTGATAGACTGAACTATGTCGAAGAATGTATTTCGTGCGATAATGCTAGAAGAAATGTGCCGTGCAATGCAAGAACGTGCAAAATGCATAAAAAATTCGTTGTTTGTAGAAATTCTCGATTTAACGGAGGTGCCTCGATATTATCGGCTTATTTAACAAATATAATGAATGTAACTAATACAAAATTTTCGTTTAGTTCAGACAGATTCAATGGATGATGAGCAAGCATTAAAAACTGGTAATGTTCGTATGAAAGGCGATAAAATTAGGCAAGATCCTCTACCGACTAAAGAGAAACAAAAATCTGATCAAACGAACTCAAGTTTACACCTACTTAAACCTTACACTAAAGATAAGAAAATGGATACATTTGAAGAGAAGAATGAACAAACTATTCCTACAAAAGATAATTTTCACATTGAATTAAGTACAAATACTTCTAACATAAATAATGCACAACTCGAAGCAACAGCAAAAGGAGGAAAAGTTCAAACTGTAGTAGATCAAAATGTTATGCAAGAAATGAACGAATTAAAAGAGGTTTACAGCACACAAGATATTCCTATCAAGGACAAGAAAATGTTTGAAAGAATTCAAAAGGTTTTACAGGAACGGAAATATTTTTCTTATACTTAAATTACATTCACATAATACATAATTTGCAGGATCTTTTAAACGAAAGAAAACGCACAGAAGAACTTGAAAAGAAATTAGAATCTTTAACTTGCAGCATAAATTGTCTAAAAGAAAACAGCGAGCAAAAAGCAGCTTGTTTAAAAGGTGCGTTAGAAATGGCTGAGGAACAAACTAAATTTGCAATGGATTTGGTGAAACGATCAAAAGATCAAACAGATATAATTGAAACAGATAGAAATGAGCTATTAAGCGAAATCACGAAATTACAAGTATGTATACGAGAAGAAGCAATTTTCATTAATATAAGAATAATTATTATTTCAGCAACAGATAGTCGAAGCTACACACGCGAATACAACGTTGACGCAAGAGCGAGATACTTTAAAAAATAGATTGGAATCCTTGACAGAAGATGAATCTAAAAGGTAATTTTTTTAATTCTTATTTAATCGTCTGTCCTTATATCTTCAAAGTATAATCTAAAAATCGCTTCAGATATTAAAAACATGCTTCAATCGTACAAGGTGCGAAGAAGTTGAGCAAGAAGTAAATAGAATGAAATGTGCAGTAAAAGTAAAAGAAAATGCTTTAAACGAGGTAAAGGCAAAATTCATGGATATGATCATGGAACTTATGAATGTGATTAAGATACAAAAAAGAAGGATAAGCGAAGTAACGGATATATGTAATAATCAACAACATGTAATATATGAGAAAGACGAGCAATTATCTCAAAAAGTAAAGTATTAAATAACAAAATAAAAACAGACTTAAAATTAATATGCAACGCATCTGCAGATTACAGAATTATTAGAAGTACAAAATATGTTGTTGTCAAGTAATAGCACCTGTAAAGAAATGGAAGAGCAAGTAGAACATTTAAGACAGTGCTTGTGTGAAGAAACAAGTGCTTGTGATTGTTTGAAGCAGGAATTAGAAGTGTTTAAAGAAAATCATTTATCCAAGATGAGAATAAAAGAAAAGATCGTAGATGAGCAAAACAAAACTATTTCAAGACAAAGAAAGGTAACGTGTTTATTTTGAGTTTAAATCAAACTATCAAAGAGCAGCAAATGAACATCTATTTTTGTTAGTTATTGCATGATAGCGAAAAAATGGTCCAACAAGTGGCTTCCGAATTTGATCAACTTAAGGCAGAATTGTGCGAAGAAAAGCAGAAAAATAAATTTCTGCAAATAAAACTGGACAAGACCGATAATGAATTAAGCAATGCTTATTTGTTGGAATGTAAAAAGTGTAGAATTTTGAAATCTAAAATAGATTGTTTAAAGACAGAAAAACAAAGAGCTCTAACAATTGCGAAATTTGCTTACCAAAAATTAAATCAATCCATGAAAGAATATCAGAAGCAGCTCTTTTGTAAAGAGGAACAGTACAGACGCATGACATTAATAGTCGACAAAAAAGAAAAGGAGATAAGATGTTTAAAGACACAAATATATCAAAATAGTTTAAAACCTATTAAGGAAATGAACAGTTGTACTCTATAACATCTGTACTATGAAATTTAATTATAGTAATTGTTTATGTTCACAAAATGTGTTACAACAAAGATTTAAGAAATTCGAATTTGGTGGAATTATGTCAATGAATACGTATATAACAATAAGTATTGTATATTATAATATGAATTATCTACTATGGACTTTACAGAAAACACATTATACATACAGATTTACATTGTAAATACAATTATATTCAAGAAACTTAAATACAATCTTTCAACAACCACTGGTATGTAAATTACTTAAATCTCAATGTAGCTACTCTTACCTTAAATTCGAGAATCAGTAACTTAATGTTTTTCTTGTACCACATAATGTTATAATCAAAGTGACTTTTCCAGTTTTTGTCCAAAAAATATTTGTAAAATACAGACATGTCATCCGCAGTGAACGACGTCTTTCCGCGCGATTTCATAAGCTCTTGAAAATGCTTGCGTTCCTGCGGCACATTCGAAATTCTAAAATTTCCAACCTTGTTTTTTTATAACAACATTACGTAAAAACTACGAGCCATACCTCTATAAAGCTGGTATTGTGTTTCGTCCAAAAATTTTGATTCCATAATTGAGTATCCTCCCTGGCTTTTCTGTACTCCTCTTCGAAGTGAGACTCGTTTTTGCGCCTCGCAAACTTTATTGGTCTTAAATTTGAAATCGGATCGGGTGGTCCGATTGTATCAGTTTTTAGGTTAGAAGATGTTTTCTAAAAATTCGGGATGTACGCGTGATCGACGAAACTTCTCGACTTAATAAATGAACGACTTACTGTGCTGAACGACCGAATTACATTGTTCCAAAGCTTCAATCGCGTGTAAGTACATGCCCGAGCCATTTCGTAAACATTCACATGTTTCAAAAGATCATACGTTCTAATTAGATCCCATGATTTTGATCGTGTAACTATATGTTACTCTGTGTATCGAAGAGTAGTGTTGGGCATAGCATAGGTCATGTGATGTGGATTTATTCAATATTCACGAGTAACGAATAAACTAGTTCAATTTGTAAATAAACAATAAATCAAAATTATTCGTTATTTCTTTTTTCTTATTCAAAGTTTGCAAATAAAAAGAAAGTTTATACACAGGGTGTTCGGCCACCCCTGGGAAAAATTTTAATGGGAGATTCTAGAGGCCAAAGTAAGACGAAAATCAAGAATATCAATTTGTCGGTGGAGGCTTCGTTAAAAGTTATTAAAAAATTTCGAATCATTCACGGAAAAATTATTTTCGGTTGCGGGGGTTAATTACAATCATTTTTGGTGAATAGATTTACCCCCGAAATCCTACTCACTTTTGAGAAAAAAATTCGATTAGGTGCTGACATTTTTCGGCGAAATTTAAAAGTTTCAAATCATACTGGAAAAATTATTTTTTACTACTGGAGTCAATTACAATAATTTTTGGTGAATATACATACCCTCGAAATCCTAACCATTTTCGAGAAAAAAATTCTTTACCAAAATTTACTGTGTGGCTGGAAATCTTCCAACTTTTTAACGAAGCCTTATTCAACAAATTAGTATCCTTGGTTTTCGTTTTATTTTATTAAATTTTTCCCAGGAGTGGCCGAACACCCTGTATACACAGCAGTAATCATAGAAATTTTACATAATCATTTGTGTTATTGAGCACTGAAGGTTGCATTTATAACGAAAAAAACATAATTTATTATGATGAATCCAGAAGTAATTCAAAATAAACGTACTGACTAATTTTGTAAATGGTATAGACATTAAATAATCTAGTGAATTTTTGGGGATTATTCCTTATCAATACTTTTGATTATCTTACATTGAGACAATGATTTCTTTAATTTAAACTAGTTACATTTTGCGAATGAAATATTTACAAACGCGATTCTTACTTAACAAACAACCGTTTATTAATATAGTAACATAAGCTCTTTTATAAATACAATCTAATAAATCTAATAGTTGCAGTATTTCATTCACTATATAAATAACAATTATGTATCTCTGTTAATAGATTTGGATACAAATGGATTATTCGTACATTTGTTATCCGATGTTTCTATTTAAATGTTCATGGCTTAGTTTCAAAAAGAATACTCTTTCTTTCTCTCTCCCTATCTGTAATATAATTCGCTTCAGAATAGATCTTTAAAAACAAAAAATTAATTCAAAAATTCTTTAACAGTCTAGTATTGTAAGACACAATAAGAAATAGATCATTGGTTCGTATCATGACAAATTCATAACAAATTCAAAACGACAAATTTTGTCAAAGTTCTGGTTGCCTGCATTAAGACTAGAGATTTTTTTTTGTAAAAACATTCCCTCTGTTCGCAGAAATAGTTTAGGAAAATACGTCCAGACATGCATTTGGTATTTCATTATTGGTATACGGTATTATGAGTTAGCTTTAACTATCATAACATGCACGGTCATGTTTTCCAAAACATTTAAAGATTCTCTTAACGTTTCATATGGTTCGCGTTACTTTTTAAATATGACATAAGATTCGATACTTAGTTTAATGACTTTAAATATGCCGCGTCGAACAGATCGAGCTCGTTCGTTAAATAGTTTGCCTTATTTCGTAATACTTTAGCGCTACTAGTTGCTTCCTCGAGTATTCGTATTGTATTTGCAATGTGTTTTAGGTCGGTATCCATTTCAGTTGTTGTTTCGTCCACTAAATGGCACAGACGTGCAAAGGTACTCGATAGCTCTCTGTAATCGAACAAAAATTACGCTACAATCGATTCTATAGTAGTAAAAAATTAGACTTACTGTTGTACTTGATGACTACAATTCGCAGACGTGAGATCTACAATTAATTTCAATTTCTTCGTCGCGTGAGATACGTATTGACGTTTGAATTCACGTTCCTTAGCTTTATTAGTCCACGTTAATCGCTCGTAAAGATACAAAGCACCATATATGGCACCGGTTGCAGCTATAAGTCTCCAACCGATTGTTTTCAACATCTATAATAAGAAATTCTCAATAGAGAAAAGCTGTTCGGTGTTTAGAGACATTTCACGAGGTATACTTACGAAACCAGCAACTATGAGACCTCCCATTGTACCCTGAGACGTTATAGACGCTATTGCAATTTTAGAAGCTAATGACCAATCGTCTGATCTCGGTGGAAAATTTGGGGTACCAGACACGAATTTTATAGAATCAACGCTTTCCGTGGGAGACATTATAGCAGGCGGTATCTGCGAATACGAAAATTAAATAATAGCTTTGCCATTATACGAACGCTTTGTATCGCTTGATAAATTTTACTTACATCTTGTGGATAATTAGCGATGGCTAATTTGTTATTTTGTCTTCCTGCAAACCTGTTAATTATAGCCGTAATACCCCAAGAGAATCGAAACTCTAAATCTTCATGGAAATCCGCACACAAATTGTCACAATTCAATCTATAGAAAATCTCGAACGGTTCCCTTCTTGGTAAAATGTTCAATGACACTTGTCTTTTATTTTCTGGCAATAAGGTTGCCATTCTTTCCGTCATGTCTCTTTGTGAATTTTCTATATTCATCGCCAATGCGGTACTGAGTCTTGCTCTCAAGTTAGAACCTGCACGATCGCATAATTATTATTTATTATACGGAAAATAAATGCGCAACAACATAATTACCTAAGCCGTTTTCGACGTGCGTGTGAAGTTCCCGCTTATATACATTTAGAACTAATGGATCGGTATGAAATGGAACACTGAACTCATCAATCAGTACAGATAGTCTATGAATTTCTTCGCTCAGAGCCTTAGATACTCTCTGTTCTACATCCTCCACCATGTGGTGTATTTTATTCTTCATTTCTTGGGTCAATAACATTAATTGTTGTTCCGTGAAATTTAATTTGTCATGGACATCCCTTTTAACACGTACTTGCTCTTTTTTCATGTTTTGCGTTCTGTCTAATATTTCGTCTAACGTTTGTCGAATTTCTCTAAAAAGATCGTTCTTTTTTACATATCAGAAAGCAAACTTTTAAACGAAATCGAACAAACGGTAGATTTCTTACGTGGAAATGTGTTTCCCACGTTGTGAATGCTGTTCGAATTTCGTTTTCACAGCAGACTTTGAGATACATTCCTCAAATTTTCGTTCGAAATCTTGAAATTCGAAGTAACGATTTTGAAATCCTTCTGCTAGCGCACCATCTGCGATAAAGTTACAAATATGTTAAGTAATGCTCATACTTTTACGTATAACATTTGCTAAAATTTATTTTACTATGAGCAGGCTGGCCACGTTGTTCTTGCATTCGAGCTTGGAGTGTCTCTTTCGCCGAAATAAAGAAAACGCGTTCCTCGGCGTCCTTCGGAGTGTAAACTTTCAATTCTCTTGCTAAGAAATCGACGGCGCGATCTTGATGCTGTGCCCTTACCTATGCAGATGTTAAGTGTAAATAAATACAACTTACTATTAGCTCGCGAAACAATTCAAGAAGCAAAGAAGCACATTGTGAGTCTTCTTAATATTAAAAGCAGATCAGTTTCAAATATGATTTTGATATTAATTAATGTCTTTTCATGCTATAAAATTTGTGCACAATATAAATTGCATAGTGACATCGTCGGTTCCATGTACAATGATGACGAAGTATAAATAATAAAAGAACTTGATTAAAAATCATAGATGATAATGTTTACAAAACGGAGTAACTTACCTCCTTTTGCTCTTTGACCAGCTAAGAGATAAATGGGGTATTACGTAAATTATTTAAGTAAAGCTGCCACTGCATACAGCTTATGTATCAATGTATCTATATTTCACAAATATTTTTTTTCGAGCATGCTAATGCGTAGTGAATTAAATTATTTAGATACGAAAACATTTCGTGGTAAAGACCTTAATATGTAGTACCAGCTTTAATAATAATAAAGAACTTTACCTTGTAAGAAATTTGCTTTAATATTAAGAAATTACTTTCAAGAATACTTTTTCAATCAATATAAATGTATCATAATGCGATCTATTAAGCACTAGAGAGATTTGCATTTATGTAATATATACGACTTTGTAAAATACCTACCTGCTCGAAGAATTCTGGTTCTGAAGCAGAAGCGTCCCATCGATTATTGAGAATAAAAATATTAGGTTTGGATAATTTCGTAGACACTTTATGGAAAAAATTTTTTTCCTGTAATTACAGTATTATTTATATCTATTATTCTTACATATAAACATAGCTTATGGACAGCGGAAAAAACCACTGTCTCGGACAATTAGTAACACTTACGGTAACCATTAAAGTAGATTCAGCATTGGCTACTAAAACAAACACATCTGCGTCCAAACAGTGTTTGTCAATCCAGTCATCTAGGTTGGGTGTTACGTCCACTCCAGGACTGTCGACAAATACTACATCATCTCGTAATAATAAACATTTTTCTTTCGGCCAAAATATTCTTACTAAGTGACTTTCACATAATTTTTCTTTGCAAAGAGCATGACCTAATTGACCAACTGATTGAACAGGTTGTTTTTCAGTAGATCCTTCGGTGATGAGGTACGCCTCTCCATTATCTGATCCTTCAACTTGTAAAAAACAATTTGTCGTATGGCCTATGCCACTCGGCAAAATCTTATCGTGTAACATTGCATTGATAACTGTACTCTTTCCGTTGCTAGTCCTGGAACACATACATTTAATTGGATTAATTTACATATCAACGCTGCTCGATGCTATTATAATTACATACCTTCCAAAAAACGCAACTTTCATGTGATCCCGCTTAAGCACATCCCTAATCGCCCGAACTTTATCAACATAGCTTGCGATTTTCTGCGCTTCTTCAATCGTAACTATATCGCGTTCAATTTGTAACGCTATAAAAGAAATTTTAGCTATAATCTAAAACTGTGTGCTACAATTTTCGTAACGGATGTAAATAACAAAATTACTTACATTTCATAAATCCCACAGTATCCTGCACATAGTCGTCTATTTCCACAAAGATGTCGTTGATCTTCTTCTTGGCTTTAACGAAAATCTGAAGGGGAGAATTATCGGATCTTATATCTGTTGATCTCAAGTGGCTGTCTCCTCCAATCATGGACATTGTACGATTGATGTAGGCAGCCATACTTCCTTATATGCTTATTACGTATACGATGTGTTTGGCAAAGTAAGAAAAAATACAGTGCAATACTTTAGATGGGACGTTGATGCAGTGCACAGCATGCAGGACCAACTGAAATCATAAAAAAGCAACAGTTAAACATTTTCTAATCACAACTTCAAACTACAAGGTTTAGTGTATAATTCTTCTTTTATGTACAAACAAATATAATCACAGGATGTTTAACAAATATAAACAAAAACACATATATTAAGCAACATTGTAACGCCTTAAATTTCTTTGTACAATTATAAAAATTAAATATAAAAGAAAACAATATCATATAATAAACAACTTTCAATGTATTAACCCTTTGATTATGAACATGTATAGGTGCTCGTTCGATCGTGTGCAGTACAAGCTTATACATTCAACGTGCGAAGGATTCTATTCCTGGTTGTTCACAATTGAAAGGTTTAATAATTGAATGTATTTGTATATAATACATTAAACTATTGGAATACTACATATTTTGTTTTTTAAACTCCATGGCTCCAATCAAAACGAAAGTCAATATATACATTTAAAACTTTTAGGGGTTGTTCCATATGTATGTGATTAATTATATAGAATCTATCACACATAGTAAGCAATATGTAACAATTATGACAATGAGATAAAACCTTCTTGTCTTTAGTCATTGAAGTGTCCTTTGGTGCAATATAAATGAGACGTATCTTTGAATGCTTCTTTAGTCCAAATTTTCTAAAACAATTTATTACAATATCAATATCGAATATCTCCGTATTATTTCTAAATCTAACATAAAATTGGACTGATGTAATTTGTAACGCGTGTAGAAAAGAATTTACATTACATAAACTTCGATTAAATCATATGTACATTATATTATAGTTTGTATTTTTTTACCAACCGAATCACTTAACTTATATCACTTATACGAATCGTGATATTTATAAATTCTGACAAATTGGTGCGTACGTTCCATACAACGCGATTGCAACAGAATATTTTGCGCCTTTACATCTAATTTCTACAATTAGAACATGCGACGTCTTACGCATTAATCAAGCAACGGATATCGTTTATTTTTTATTCATATACGCGTACACGAGAAAAAGAAAATTTACGTAGTTGAAAAATTAAAAATATACTTTGGACCATTCGTCCGAAATGTAACCTGTGCAACACCTCGAAATTTCGTCTAGTCTATAAATTTTGGAATCTTACCAAATAATCACAGTTTCTGTAGTATCATATTTCGAATCGAATGTGGACTTAATTACGTATTAAAAATCTATAACATTTCGCAACTACAAAATATCTAATGCACTAATAATTAGATCGAAGTACACTAAAATAAGTTCATATGTGAACTGTTTCGAAGTGGTAGCAAACATGTGACACACGACGAACGAGGGTCATTTTCATGTATCGGAGTAGCTTTCGTCGTTTTATTTACACATAATACTTTGATTTGAACGGAGTATATGTACAGTTACAAAATTTAAAATACCTCTGAAATGATGAAAAAATTTATTTTTATACATTACTATTTCCAGGAAAATAATGATCCCACGCATGCATCATAGTTCGACTATTGTTACTATACGATACCTTAAAATAATTGAAAACATCTCCCCAGTCACCAGATCTTAATCTTATCATTCTTATCCAATTGAGAATGGAGAAAAATAAAATTGAGACCAAGTTACGAGTAATCATAATTTTTAAATAAAATTAAAAGAAGATTGCAACAATATTTCATCTTCTTTCGTTAAAATTCAGTCTATGCCACGACGCTTACAAGTCGTTATTGGTGCAAAAGGTTGTGCCACGAAGTATATAAAAGTTAAATTAATAATCATAACTTTGTAAATAGATTTATTAATCCACGTGTACGCTCAATTTTGTAATACTAAAATAAATGTATTATTGTATTTTTTGTTAAATCAAAAAGAATAGTTGATTTCACTTAAAAGTATTTTTGCAAATTATTTGTTAATATGTCCAAATAAAATATCTGTTGTCTTTTCACTCTTAAATATGTGTGTAAACATTCATTTTTCCGCTATTTTTCATTATCAACATAGGTGTATTTTACGAATGACTGATAAGCTGAATAATTTTTGGCGCATCTACCAACAATATGGCGGATGTATGACGTTATTCGACTTGATCTCATGAGGCATAATCCGGCGTGACACACAGTGATCGATACTTTACTCAGTGATTAACATCAATTTTCATATTTTGAAGTATTTTTCATTGATGCAGTAACATGCATGGCGGATTCATACATTCTGTTAAAGTCCCGAGACTTTATAAATTTTCTGCTAAGGTCGTTCGAGATATCCGCGAAAAAGGTGGCAGTCTCAAATCGTTAATTTACGAAAAAAAACATCCTGTAAGTTGATCTATTATGGTGAAAAGTAAAATGACACGATCAAACATTAGAATAAATGTATGCGATATTTAAGCATTCGTAATGCGTTGAATAATTCGATGGTCTTTTAGTTTTATGGCTATTTTGAGTTCACAGTAATCACATGGTTTTCATGGGTTTTTTTTCTCAAATTATGTTAAAAGTATACATCCTGTTATATTTCCATTATAATTGAATCACGTTCGATTAAAATCATTAAAACTTAAACTTAACATTTTCAATTTTCGTTTCAATGTAGAATGTGTCTGGGATGTACGCCTTGTGCCTCAACACATTAAACAAAGAGGAGCAATTAAATTTTCTTTTAACTGAAACCGGTATATTAACGAAAGAGCCACGTTTGGATCCATGGTTAACAAAAGTTCTTATAACCGAATTGCTCTGGGGAAAAAAAGCCTTGAAAACCGATTGCAAACCTGCTCAAACCATACTTGCGTATCAGAAACAACTACAGCAAGCATTGTTCAAATCAGAAGCATTACCGTCATCTAACACAACAGGTAAAATAAGTTTCGTTTAATTACCAATAAATACGTATTATTTTTACAGAAATGGACCATTCCTGTATGGGGAAATTAATAATCCGATTGAGCCACGCAATTTGAGATATTTTAAATTATTTTTTCTGTAAGGGATATCGCGCATCCAGATTGATGGTTTTAATCATCCGCAACAACCGAATACTTACTAGCCGGCAAACTAGAATTAAAAAATTTCTGTCTTACGTAAATAAAAATCGGCAAAAGTCAAACGAGAAAGAAACTTCTCACGATCAGAGTAAAGAAATACCAGTCATGAATCTTGTAAGAGTGCTAGGAACATTGTTCCTGTATAGCATCGCTATGTTTACACTGCCGTTCGCTGTATTTTTTGGGGTAGAGCATGTTATGAAGGCAGAGTTCAATGCAGATAGGTTCGTGACGAATTGCATTTCCGTGTTTGCTGCAGTAGTCACAGTAAACTTAATAATAGCTTGTTATGTTTATCAGGCACTTTATGAACCTGATAATGCTTCAGAGATTAGTGAAATTGCAGATCAGCCTTCTAAAAAAAGTCTCAACAAGAAAGTTGATTAAACATAAACAATTATGAATGTAATAAAAATATATAATTATATTATATTTAAACTTTACGTATATTGGCATTTAGGATATGTTAATAACATATTGATATGTATAATAAGTATATAGTAGAATGTAATTTATATATTTGTATATTTTTTTACTATTATTACCGTGTTGCGAAATCGATAATATCAGTATTGAAAACAATAATTCAATATGTATCTAAAAATAAATAGATTAGCCAGAAAGCATGACTTTTACTTTATATCCATTAAAAAATTACGCACCTTCGCGTATCTGTTAAAGTTAGTCTCATTTTTTCAGTTCGAAAGCCAAGATACGTTCGTGTCAACACTTTATTGCTATCGGTAGAAAACGCAATATCTTGTTTTCAAGACGAGGGATGGTCACTTCTTCCAGAATGTCCGAATTATATGGCTCATCTTGCAGTCGTAAAAAATTTATCGAAGCCGAAGTTTATTCAAGATTTTCATATTCCTGAGTTATTTGTTTTCCCACCTGATACTAGTTTTTATAATCATTATGGATACCAAAATGGACAAATTATTTTACAAGACAAGGTAACATTTATCTTTCGTAGAAAGTTGTCGTTCTTGTTACGGTCTTGTGTTCATTTTCGTTTAACTTTTGTTTTTTAGGCCAGTTGCATTCCAACGCAATTGTTAAATCCAGTACCTGGGTCTGTAGTACTGGACATGTGTGCAGCTCCAGGGATGAAAACAACGCATTTAGCTACGCTTATGAAGAATAAAGGGTACGAATTCCGTAATTAATTATGATTTCTTTATAAATAGTACTTTAAATTTGACGAAACGCTATGTTTATAGGAAAATTTATGCGGTAGAGCTGATGGAACAGAGATACGAGACTTTGTGTGAACAAGTAAAAATAACAAACTCCACTTGCGTAGAAACTCGTAACGACGACTCGATGATTATCGAGGCGGATGATTATCCTGGCGTGGAATATATCCTAGTTGATCCAAGTTGTTCTGGCTCAGGTAAAATATTTGTCGTATTTATTAAAATACAAACAATTTAAAATGTAAAATAAATTAAATGTTTTACCGTAGGTATGTCGGAAAGACAGTTAGTTAAAGACGCAAAATGTTCGCCGCAGCGCCTCAAACAATTGCAAGCAGTTCAAGTATTTCTTTTGCGACATGCACTTCTAAATTTCCCAAACGTAAAAAGAGTTGTTTATAGTACATGCTCCATTTATCCAGAAGAAAACGAGCAAGTTATAGATGAAATTATCAATGACGTTAAAAATGCTTATAAACTCGTATCTATTAAGGACATGTTCGGTGAAAATTGGAAGAATTACAGTTCGAAGAATTATAAATGTTCGGACAAGTGTCTTTACGCTAACTTCGAAGCAGATATGTGCAACGGTTTTTTTGTCGCGATGTTCGAACGGGACTTTAATGTATCTTTGCCGGTGTACAACAGGCGCAACGGAAGTCATCTAATAAAGAAAGAACCGTCGGATGAGATGAAACAATTGGATACTGTAGACTCGAAAAAAGTAGGCGAAACACGGAAACGGAAGAAGCGTAAGAAAAAAAATACCGCGAATCAATTGCAAAACAATTCCACGGGAGAAAGTGTTTTAAACGAGTCCTCTAATTCGATTCAGTTCCTCGGCGAAGTTCAAACCAACGATAAAGAAAACAACGACGAACCGCCGTTAAAAAAACCAATAAAAAAACACGTTCGCAAGAATAAGAAACAATTAAACGAAGAACCGGAAAGAGCTAATCGAAAAGAAGTTAAAGTACAAAAAATGAAGAAGCAGTAAGAATCGAGGATCGCTAAAACAAGATCATTTTCGACGTTATGAAAAATGCATTGCAACTTTTTATATCGAATCAACAAAAGCAATGAATATATATCTTGTTATAAGTGTATTTTTAATTAATCCTTACTACCGCGGAATCTCTGCTTTGCCCTTTCATTTTTCCCTATTTCGTCGTTTCTTTGCGCGACACTCGACTATTTTTGCTATTGTTTCGGATAAGATCGGCACCTATTATCAGCGGTGTCGCACAACTTCCACGTTTTGACCACGACACGAAATCTCTAGCACGCACGGCATCAGAGGTCCAAGAGGGTTGTGTCCTTCGTGCGGGCTACGCGACGTAGGTCTGCAGGAACTTTTGCGTATCGTCTGAAATTTAAAAGAAAAACAGAAATGAGAACTATTCCTTGAACGTACCACTAATTTTATTTTATGGTCGATTGTACTATAGTTTTTGGATTTTACGTTTAGCAGAAGAAGCGTTGAAATATTAAGAGCGATTGCAACGAATTCGTGGTTGTGTTTAATTTGATATTACACAATTTTTCATGGGCTGGCGACACGGAAAGGTCTCGTTTCGAACATAAAAATCTGCGGACAAATATCATCGCGAGTGTTGGGCCGGAGGATATCGTTGAAACGTACCTGATAATCCTTATGATGTATGTACATGATGTTTCCTTGATGCGCGATGAAAAATATTCCTTTGCCACGTACCATGCTTATCTCGGTTCACAACGAAATGCATTCCGCATTAATGGTTCCACGCTTTGTCGCTCTGACGTACAAGGTCTTGGATATCTTTTGATAAACGCCGCCGGTGTTTCAGATCATAGCTGATAACCATGTCTTATGGATCGTTGTAATATTCAGTGATAGCGCGGTAATGATAATTATACGGGTAAAGGCTGCATGCTTGAGTCGTTAATGGGTAATCGGTGTATAGGCACGGTAGTAAATTAATCTTGTGTCTTTGGAATTTGAATTAATGACTCTATATGTCAAATTGGCCTTACATAGGACAATTAAACAATTGCAATGTTCAATAGCCGAAGATTCGTTCTGTTTCAAAAATCGATTACATGGTTTCCATTCTGTTTTAAAGCCCTCGAAACTAGTGAAGCGTCCTGTATAATGAAAAATGAAGATGATAGAAACGGAGGATAGATAACCGTGAGGAGTAGTTTGGGGCGTGGCTTAGGCTAACAAATGATACTACTGTAACGTACGTTTCGTTTCAAAACGCATAGTATGGCATTTCCATCCAAAAAACAAAAAAATATATATATATTTAAAACGACTAAAATCATACTAGAGTTTATCACAGTAAAAGTACAATTTAGTAGATGATAACAATTTTTGTTTTTCAGATTTCCTTTACCCTTGTCTCAGGACGTCCCTGCGTCTTAGGGTAGCGATTGCGAGTACTATACTGTGTATAGGAAACCTACAAAAATTGAGAGCACACATACATAAATACATACATAAACATAATAAAAAGACTTTAAGTACTTATTGCTCTTTACACCCGTCCGTGTTTGCTTAATAACGAGCGACGATTAAATTCAGAATTTCAAGCACGCACCTTCGTGACGTATAAGAGATGACGGAGGGGGGAGGGGGGTGTAGCGAAGGGGGAGAAGAAATGAAACCTCGGATATCGTTGAGACTTGCTTATCTTCATCGGTCACGACGTTTTACGGCGCCTTCCGAGTTAGAAAAGAAAAAGAGCGATCAGGCACAAGCTTTCGGCCAACGGCCCCTTCCAACTTCACCGCAAAGTCGATACCAAAAGGAAGATGTCCGTTCGAGAGATTTTCGATATTTCAGACAAATTGCTAAAAGTGTTTTACAAAATTGCAAACACGTAATGCGAATGAGATTTAGATCTGGTCACTCTAATTGCATTTACCCCAAATTGTATTATTTTTGTACTTGTACATAGTATTGTTATATTTTTCACTCGTTGGGAGTCACTGTTTAGCATAAGTTCACGGTACACGTGGATTTGGTGAGAAATTAACGCCACACGTTCGCGTAGGTAGCCCCACCTGAACTCGGGTATCGGTACTTTCGTGACACGAAACTCGTTGACCTCTTTGGTCATTTCGCGGACTTCCCGGAGCCGGCGTAGATCCCGAACACGACAACGCTGATTTGTGAATAAGTTTTTTACCCGTTGCTAAGAAAAATCACGTTCTCCATTTGAGGAAGAATATTGTTCCTACCGGAGCCTTTTGGCCATACGTTTCTAGTATTATTATACATTTCCAAATAATTCTTTCAAATAAATTACTTTTTATGTTTATCTTACCTAACATTTTGCGCTGGAAAGATATGCTATGCACGTCGCTTGTTATATGCTTCTAAAGTGGGAATGACAATTAATTTCCAGAACAAGAGGCTAAAATATTTAAATTTAAAAATTTTGAAGGAATACTGTTATCGAGAAAATTTGTCTAAACATATGAAATTTGGGATAATTGGATTTCACCCAAGGAGTATTGTTTTTCTTCTAATGCAGAGTATAGATAAGGGAATTCGAAGGTAGTGGGGTTAGGTTTGAGGGAAGATTCGAGGTAGCGAATCGATATCGAATTCGAAGCAATCCTTAGGGAAAGTTGGGATTCGGTGTTGAACGAATCCTGCTGATTCATGCTCAGCGTGATATACGAGCCGCTCGGCCGCTCGATTACTTAAGTGGTCGAGGAACGAATCTGGTCAGCCGCCTTCCACTAGAGAACACGAACACGCAAACCCTTGGTATCGACTATTCTCCGGGCTAAGAAAATATTATAAAGATGACCGGCCATGATACAACAAATTGTCCGTAATTTGCTACTTTCCTTTACAAAAATCACGATCGTTGGTTCCTCTTGGAATCTTGAACCTTGGGAAACTGTTAGATTTATTCCAGTGCAATGACACGGTAGATCTGACAATACAATTGATAGTGTACCATTTAGAGCTGGATAAACATAAACAAAATATATATCAAACATTATATGAAATAACAAGCGCTATATAGTTGACGTAAAATAATATTTTTGCAAATGAAATATTTTTATTTCTATAATTCACAGCGGTGGCTTTTAATCCTTTTTTTTTATGGATTTCTATGGATAAATATTTTTCTAACTAGTGCTCCACGAAAGTCCAAAAAAAGTTTGCTAAATAAGAATTTACATTCAACAGGGACTGTGGTGTCCTGTAGACTTTTTAGGCGTTTGAAAATTTCGTTTTCTAAAAGGAATTGTCGGAGAATCGTGAATCCCAATTAAATCTTGGTAGGTTTATTAACGCTTGGTAACATTTCCGCCAACGGTCGAAAGTTTCCAAAGACAGCTTGAAACCTTGTAATTCCTCGGTACAAGACATAATGGCGACACTTCACGACATTGAAAGATTTATTATAGTCTCAGAACTGTTGTTTCAAAGCACCGAAAGGGTAAAATTAATAATTTTTAAATATAATGTACACAACAACAAAATATAATTCCATTACAACACTACGTACGTTCCACACATTGTTGTAATTTATTATAAAATACGGACAGAATGTAATAAATAAAATACAATTAACTCTGCACGACTGTGTGGCTCTAGACTTTGTCTCGATCGTCAACCATTTGTATCGATATTCGATCGGCCTCCGATTGGCGTCGCTCAGATCTGCACTCTCAATATTGCCAATACAGATACATAAAATTACCGTTCGACGTCATGAACACTAGATTACCTTCTAATACAAATTTCTATAGTTGATTAATCGAATATATGTTAATCATTTTCTCAAATATCGTTCAATAATTTTCAGAAGTCAAATGAAATTTGGCCCTTTGAAAAGATTACTTTTCCTATGCGACTACAGAAGCGTGTACAAGAATTTAATTTTAACGAACGCTGGAAACATTTCGTGTCCCTAAATTGGCGTTTCCTCCCGGGTTTCTAGAGAAATCGACGGTAAGGCTGTCCAGCAAAACATTATCGCCTGTTTTATTTGACCTTCGCGTCGACTGGCATTTGTATCTTGTATTCATATCGTGCATTCTACAATTCTTAAGCTTCATGCGGCTAATCATCCTACCCACTTTCTGATAAGGCCGTGTTTCTTCATCGAAGAAATGCAAACAGCAAGAAATTGTTAATAAAGCAAAAAAAATGAAGAGAGAAGGGAATAAGCGGAACGCTGCCTCGAATCGCTGCATGTGCTTCAAGACGTTTATAAATTCCAGGATAATTGTCTTTGTATTCTATATTATAATTATAAGTATCTTTTTTAGTATTATAAGAATTTTTCTCCGTAAACGGTGTACCCATTTAAATACAAGCATTTTCTTGTGTTTAATCTTCTTCGAAGAACTTACATCGAATGAATATTGTGTCGTCCGATTTTATCTCATCTTCGAAGAGTTTCTGTCGACGCTACGCATCAGTCGACCGTCTCTTTCGCACTTTTGCACCTTGTTCAGTTAATTATTCCGCGTCAAGTTTGAATTTCATGCGGATAATTATTGAAGTACCGTTAGTTCTATACCGTTATTACGGAGGGGAAAAAAGTCGATTCGACACGCGTTACACGGCTCAAACGTTTCAGACGAGATTATAATTGGCCGGCGTTGTGGCATTTTAAATTTATGAACACAAGATTTCGCTGGCTATGCTAATGCGCCACGCTTGTACGCTCGAATTGTTTAAATACGAAACGCTTCCGAGAAATTGCAATTTCTTGCACGCAAAATTCCTTTCTCGACCGTAGACAATAAAAGCTGTACGACGCTTTGATTATTGCACATGTTATTCCATATTTATATTATTACTCGATGCATATCTAGCTTGTGTATTTATTGAGATTGACAGTCGTTTGGTTATATCGGATAATTAATAGATATAAAGTAGCTGTTGCGACAACGAGGACTCGACGTATTTCATTAGTGGAATAAATCTGTGATCTTTATAGCGTGTATTATTATTTGAAACGTTGCGTTGAATTCGTGCAAACGTGTCGCATAAATTATTACAGCACTAATGCTTAGCCATTAATCTTCTCACGTTTTTATGACTTTGCAAATTCGAGTCTGAGGAATTCAACGGTGATCGGTCGTTCTCACGCCAGCGTGAGTTCAATAAGCGATCGGTTACCCTCGCGTTTACTCGAATTTATAAATTATCTACGATCACATTACGTCATTGTTATCGAATTCTTTGGCATTTTTTCCTAATCCTCGACGTATTATTCTCTGTTCCCGGCGTCTCGGTGGATGTATCCTGTTGCTGTTAATATTATGCACCCCCCGTTACGCAGTCTGTTGTTTCTCCAACGATACGCCATTTTTTGCATTTGTCCCTGTCTACGTTGTTGAGGGAATTCGGGACAATATGAGCACCCTGGGGAGTATGAAACTATTATTCAAATGCTTTGAATATTACGTCAGGAGGCTTTTTCCTCGTTTTTGTGCCTGTCGTAACTGTCGTCAATACTATAATAGCAGGTGATCGATGAATTCGTGGTTTCTTCTTACAAACCTTGTCGTTGATCTCGAACTTAAAGTAAAGCATGGAATTAATCATTTCAACTTTGATATTTTTAAGTAGTAACTTGTCAAGCAGACAGTTTAACACCAGTTTAGTAAGAATTAATTGTAAACGTCTTATTTGTTTTTGTAGGTACTGTAGGATCTGTACCAAAATCAGACTCTATTATATCTTTCTAATGTATTGATATTTGTTCTCGGTGGTATAAAACGAAACAGTGCGGACAGGTTTATAACTTCTACTTCAACTATTCTCACTTCCAGAATTTATTAAAGAAAGAATCTATTTGCCGCAGGAATACACGTGTAAGGCCCAACTAGGAATGCTCGGAATCCTTGGAATCCCTTCCATTACGAACGTACCCGATTATAGCCGACAATTCCCGATGTGTCTACTGACTACTACGCGAGCCAAACGATGGTTACACGTATGATTCTGGCGTGCGACTTAAAATACGTATATCGATGCAAAGAAATATAACAGTCTATTTTAAAAATAATCCCTTAGGATCATTGGATAGAAATTGGATCGCAACTAATTTCTGCAAATAAATCTAGGTATCTCTTTCAACGGTTCTATTCAATATGCTTGTACTTTGTACTTACAACAAAATTTAATTATTTTTTCATCCAGACAAAACTGACTGGAAGACCTCAAGCCTATTTTTATCATTGATATACCATTCAATCAAGACCAATGGAAGTTTAACATAATATCTAAGAAACATAAACAAGTATATTTCCAATAATTCATAAACACTTGGACAATAGTAAAAATGAATAAAAGAAGGAATAAGCGGTAGGGTTGATCCAATATATCCAAGGTTCTCTGTTCGTTTCTCACTGAGTATACCTATGTGTAATTACAGCAATTATGTACCTCCTCCTGCGCTCTTCCCGGGCCGTTATTATTTCCATCGGGAATTGCGATTGGAGCGGAAGAGCGAGGCTTGCGCGAAGGTTCCTGGCCGGTGCAACAAGTTCGGTGCTCGTTTCGCCGGCGTCGGTTCACTGACACGGGCGTCGATGCCGGCGAACGTCCACGGGGCAGGAGAGAACGGCGTCGACGACGACGGCGGCGCCGGGGTAGCGTGGCTTCGTTGCTGTCCCTCGGAGCGACACACTCGACGTCGGGACGCCATCGTCGAAGGACGCATGAATATGTAACACCATCGTGGCTACCCGGTGCGTTATCTTTACGTTCGAACGACCCGTCCGTGCGGATTTTCACCCTCCGTTTCTCTCGGCGTCCGACCATGTCCGTCCTCGACGACGATTTTTCAACACGGACGCAACGAAGCGTCGTCCACGCGCGTCCAGTTCGTTTCCAACAGTGATCATGTCGGACTTCGACGCGAAACTGGAGTGAAACAGTGACCGCGAGATGTGTTGGGTCTCCCATCGTTCAGAGTGCGAATGAACGAGCGTAACAGTATTTGTACCCCCCTCGACCAGGATAGATTTCGCGACGAGTGCGTCGAAACGTATTAATTTATCGAAACTGATTTATAATCGACGATTTTTCGTTAGATCGAGAGCACAGTTTTGCGTATAGGCGGGGAAGGCTCTTATTGCGTCGCGCGTTCGTGACCTTAGTACTCATCGAGTCTGATAAAATGCGCCGTAGCTCGGCGAGCTCGTTAATCTGGAATTATTATACGCTGAAGCTTGTAAATATTTTTTTTTTTCTTTATAACAAACGCGAGTCGCACGCGTCTCTGAGAGACTTTGATTGTTCCAGCGTTAATCAACCCCTCCTCGGTGCATCAAAATCCGCGCGAGTTTCGAGGGCCAAGATGAACAGTGCCGATCGATCGATCTGCAGTGAACTGCAGTTACAATATAAAAGTGCATCGTAAGCGTTGAGCAGCCCGATCGATCGGGAATCCCTGGCAATCACGCGACACGTGGACGTCCCGACGACGTGCAAGGTGGCATTTTTTCACCCAGTTGCTCGACGTTGTTGCACCGTATTGCTACTTTTCGCGTAAAAAAACGGAACCTTGAAACTCGACGCTCGGAAAGAGTCCAGACGATCCATCAAATTTTGACAAGCGATTTCACGGAAGGGAAACACGGGATCTCGAAGAGGAACGTCGGAAACCAGCAGTCCACCGTCGAGGTACGTGCTGGTAACGTCTTCTTAGACACCCGTTCCGAGTAGGGTCATTTTAGAGTGTTCAATTTGTCGAAACGCGAACAACGATAGAGTGAAACGACATTTTTAGAGTTTTATTTTCACAATGGCGGATGTTAATAATATCCAGATTTCTTCTATTTTTAGTCGAATGATTTTGGTCGTCGGGGTTCGCGAAAAAGACTTTTGAAACTCGTGAAAAATAAATAGTCTTATATGTTTATTCCTGTGCATTCAACAAGACTTTCGACTTGGTGCATTAAAATACTCGATCACGCAATTCTTCCATTTCGGGGTTATTAATTTATTTTTAACGCGCGACCGCCGACTGTGGGTTTAAATTATCTAATAATTGAAGGGTTTAGTCCGTAAACGTTCAATTTGCTAGGTTTGTTTCAATGATTAATATCGAGTTTGCTTTCTGGACAGTAATGTAGTCATAATATTCACCGCTTTCGCCGCCATCTTCTTCAGCCTTCTATCGTTGTTATCAATATTTGTCGCTATGATATCTTTGCGTTACATACCAAGACTTTACGCGAGAAACTCTTTTGGCTAAAATAGTTACAAGCAATGTAAAATACTCCTAAATTACTAAAAATGTACGAAACGTGTTACGACATCCACGAAAGACAAATTTGTACACGTCGGGACTATAAGTTTGAAGAATTTCCAAGAGTTGAGGGGTTGTATCGAATTATGGAGACTTGAACGCGCGGAGAAGCGGCGAACGTTTCCGCGACGACTGTTGCAGGATCGTCCGGTGGATCCCCAGGACGTCGAGAGATCGTCGTAGGAAGAGGGATATAAGAGAGGAGGCGTAAAGGCGGCGGCCTTGCGCCGATGATCGCTGCTGAAAATCAGTCGAGTTCGCGTGCCGGCTCCAGGCTGGGGCAGTTCGAGGAGCTAGCGGCTGACGGAAGCGTGGGTGGCGGCAACGGGGGTGGTGTAGCCGCTACAACCACTACCTCGGAGCCAGGTGAGAGAGTTAATTACCCGAACAGATTGCGATCATCGTTATGGAAACTGTATGAAAAAATTGCTGTCCAGATCCACGATGACGATAATCGTCGTAAAAGGCGGCGCGAACATGGCACCTTATAATCACACCCCTCGGGTGTGTCCCTGAAGCTTATAATCGGCCAGATTTTTGTTTCGGAGACCTCGACTTACATTGTTCCTTTATATACGAATTAAATATCGAGTAACTATACAAAGTCCTGGCGCGCTTTTGCTGCTGGAGGATGCAAGAAAGATCTTGGGATATTGGATAGTTGGTCAAGGAGTGTAGGGTCAGTCGAGCACTTGCGAGAGAGACCAGAGCGTAGCTCTCTGGTGGCGCGTGTCGGTCACCGGTGAGCAGATCCGTATCTGTTGTTGCAAGATGACAAGGTGGTTGGTGAAAAGGTGTATAGAAAGTAGTTTAGACAGCAATTAGTCAGCCCTGATATCTATTTCCCATCTCTGAAAGAGACTTATGTTAATATAGCAAGAGTTTTCGACGGATCTTCACCGCTCCAAAGGCGTAGCGATAGTCAAAACACAAACCTCGTATTTTTACGTTTAGGTATCAAATTTTATCATTCAGTGACCTCATAGTATCGTATCTACCTATCTCTTCGATATCTCCCCCTGACGGCTCCTCGAAAAGTCACTAAAATGTAAAGTTAGCTTCATCCCCCATGAGACTTTAAGCTGTACCCGAGCGATTAAAAGGGTTCGGGGAAGCAAGCATCGTGGTAAAGTGACTTATTCGTCGGGGTGTTTGAAAATGCAGGTGTAATGAAGAAGGAGGAGCAGGAGGCGCCACGAAACGAGAACTCGACGAAAGAGGGAAGCGGCGCAGCGACAGTAACTACACCTAGCGGCGTCGTTGGGACGATTTTGACGATGCCTGGCGGGGGCGCTCGAAGCGACGAGGAGCAAGAGGAGGAGGAGGAGGCAGAAGAGGAGGAGGAGGAGGAGGACGACGACGAGGAGGATGGAGTGGAAGTGGAGGGTGGAGCGGCGCAGGAGGCGGTCGGTGGCGAGGGTGGGGGTGGAGGCGGCATGGCCGGCTTCTGGAGGCAGAGCAGACCCTCCAGTCCCCGCATGCCGCCTCCGGAGCAGCCGGAGCACAGGCCTAAGAGCCGACACGAGCCGGCGCCCGCGAGATACAACAACCTCGGCTATTGGAGGGCCAGAAGAGTCACTTTCTACAAGAATGGCGACCCGTATTTTCCTGGCATCGAGTTCAGGTGAGCCCACGACACGCTCTTCCTTTCGCTGTTCGATCATCCCTTTGGTGTCTTTGTTGTCCGTGCATAGAGCACGTCGCGTTTTAGTACCTCCCGCGGGAGCAGGTGGCGTGTTCTCGCCCTCCGGGTGGCCTTGATCTCGGACCATGAATGGAGATCCACCCTTACGATGCGAAAGACACCAAAGAGGTGACAGAGTAACCTAGGTAACTGTGGTTCGAATGACTCTCGGGGAGTTAATTCGCCGATTTCTTAGGCTGCTCGAGTCAGCTGGACGAAACGTAACCGATTCTAAAATTGCAGGTTCAAGCCAGGACGAGACATCGGCTCCCTGGAGGCACTGTTGGACAGGCTGTCCCTCCGAATGGACCTGCCCAGGGGGGCGCGACACATCTTCTCCATGGACGGCGATCGGAAGCTCACCCTGGACGAGCTCGAGGACGGTGCCTCGTACGTCGTATCGAGCTACAAGTCGTTCAAGGTAAGCGAACGACGCTTCGACGCGGGAGATTTTCGATCGCGTCGCCCCGCGGCTTTAGCAGTCCTCTCTCTGATATCGGTCGACGGAAAAAAGGGGCTGTTAATTCGCTGTGGCGGGAAAGTGGGTCGTTCGATCTGATACATTGCACGAAGAAGAAATGAGGTCCTTAAGACACAGAGGATCGCGTGTGTGTGTAGATCAAATCTCGGTTCAGGTAATAACCCCTTCCTTCTGCCTTCGACGGACGAGAGGGAACCGATCTCGTTACGAGGGCGATAATTCAGCGCGCTGCAAGGACTCTTGTCGCCCCCTGTGTAGGAGGGGAAGGTAAAAGCAAACAGTCTGTTTGGCATAATTAAAATCGAGGGGAGGGTATGCGCGGTCGCTTAATATTCATGAGGCTCTCGAGTGTTGCGTCGGGGGTTAGATTTGCCCGGCAGTCGCGCGTGCACATATCGTCGAGCGCGTGCAACGCCGATCAAAAACCCCCCATGAGCGCGATTTATAAGAAAGTTGCGTATATTGCCGTTCGCAATCTTGATATATCTGGCCCAGATCGAACATTAAGCAGGCCACACGCAACGCAATACCGAGTGCGGCTACCTAAACAGAACGGTCGTTGCTCGGGCGAATTCGTCTCGCACCCGCTGCGACCGTTTCTGGTAGCCTTTGTTGCGAAAACTCCTCTGGTTCTCGACGAAACGACAGTCTTTTTTGTTCGACGAAATGCATAATATCGTAGCCACGTTTTATCGTTTCTATTATTCATCCGTCTTTTACTTTTATTTGTAGCAGTCTCTCGTACCCCCCCACGGAATTTCGAGGCACATCGTTTACAGGATTCTTCGATTTCGAAGGCGGAACTGCGACCACTCCAAAGGATTGGTTCTCAGAAAAAACGGTCCAATTAACGCTCGAACCTTTCAAGCCCCCGATTCCTCTGGAAGGTCGTTCATTATTTCGATGAGGGCGCCGATAGGAAGGATCGTTGCGTCATTGGACGGCAAGGGTGGCCCACGCCCAGCCTGATTTCCAGGTTTTAAGGTGTGACCGGGTCGCTCGTTGCACACGTACGGGCACCGTTGTCGAGACTCTGGCCATGCACGATTATTTCGATCGTCTCTCGTGTGCCGGGTCAACCCTTAATCCGGCAAAGTGGCGGTGCACGATCCTATCGTTTTATGACGAGCTTTGCATGCCGATTCGTTCGATTAGAGCCTCTGGGAATCGGTGTTTACACATCCCTGGCCCATATCGCCACCGATGACAGGCCTACGCTTGCACCTTGACCCGTATCCTGCAACGCGAAATCGATATCAAAAGTGGCCGGTGCAATTCCGTACCGTTGACCGTTGCCCGCGCGGCTAATTATGCTACTTACGAACCACGGTCCACTCAATCTTACCTTTGCACGCGAAATTGACGCAATATTTCCTCTATTTCTTCCATGGAGAGCTCGTGAATTCATAGAGTCCCGCTTATCAAGACTAACCCGGCTAACTGAAAATTGCCTTTTGCACTCTGATGTCCCCTAGGGATCTCTCGTATATCTTATTGTACATAAAGGATACTTCTGACTGCCTCCATTATAGTTTTCTTTCATTGTTCGTGGATGACTTTGAGACTTTTCACTGCATCAGTTATTATTACATTAATTATACGATTACACCCATGTAATCTTCAGAGATGATCTGTAGAAACTAATTTATACTTAAACATTTCAAATTCTAGTTTGTTGATTTTTAGTTTAATTGCATATCTTCTCTGCAGCTAAGTTACATAGTCGTCTCGAGAAGGAAATATCGTGACCAAGAGATGGTCCAAAATGGCGTTGCTAGCCATGAATGACGATAAAAGAAAACGATTAAATAGAGGATATGAAGTACTATGTAATCGAGCAATTGGAAGTCTGGTCCAGCAGCTGGCGTAACCGGTGAACGAGAGATTCGACTGTTGTTTACCAAAGCCACGTGGCACGGAGGATCGAGGTCTCGCGTAGGTGAATCCTGCGGTTAAATGGAGGGGTTAGGAGCGTTCCACTTGGTCGAGAAGTGGGAGCAAGTATTGCTATAGGGTCGAGACCAAGGGGGGTAGAAAAGGGCTGGCCAGCCGGGGTCGCGCGGTTGCGCACCACCTCGCATTCGCTTCTCCTCTTCTCTACGCTTGTCGATCCTTCCTTTCCACCCTCGTCTTCGCTCCCGTTCAAATGGTACGCCATCTCATTATCGTCCATGCGTTCCACTCGTCTGCATATTTTTGCCCATCGCGGTCGTATTCGTCGCGATAACGGTTAAAACGTACCGCGGTCGTTTCAAACGGACTTTTTCGGTCTGGTCGTTTTCCGCGACCTGAATTTCTTTGCCCCCGGCTGTCGTTAATCCCCTCCGCGGGATCTAGAGCCACGTAACCGAATTAATAAGGGCGAGAAGTGGGTTGGCGAGGCTTCGATCGCGCGTTAATTTGCACTTTTCATGTTTCCTGCCGCGTTCTTTTTCGCCGCATTAAGGTTTTTTAAATATAAAACGACGTCGAAGAAGGAACGCGACCGCCGAGAGAGTTTAACAGAGCATTATCGAGAGAGTCGTCCAGTGATTTTCTGCGTGCTCGAAGCTCTCGCGGGCGGGCATGAATCACTGGAGCAGCGGCGGGGCGAGACGGGACGGTTCGTACTTCCGTTTTAAGGAGACCGATGCCAGGGCTCTCCTAGCCGTAGGGCGGCGAGCAAGGGAGAGACCGTATCTCATTGACCGTTGGTCAGACCTGCAAGGGATCAATAAACACCGAGTTCTCCGCGCGGACGATTCACAAACCACGCTTACGCCACTGCCTTTCGAGAACTCGCGATCAAGTTCCCTAGCACGACAATCGCCAATCCCGACTTTGAAACGTTTCCAAGTTTTTTAACACTATGTAAATTCTTACGAATCTTAAAAGTCTTCGATATTTTGAGTCTCGATAGTATTCGTAATCTTGGGAGCGTCAGCAAGTAAAAAGAAGATACGATTGTACCTATTTCGTAAACATTTTAGTTTTTTAGAAATACGAAGCAATCGCATTGGTTCGATTCTATTAAATAGCGAGTATATTTCTAGTCATGAAGCTAAAAAAACACGTCATCGGTTATTCGCGTCGGTTACGTATGTATATTATATACGAACACTGAAGCTGGATTGCTTCTCGAAACTCGAGAAACGAGACGCGATTATCGATATCGATTTCGATTTGTAAGTACATAGAATCGATCCTATCTCTGGTCGACGTTGTTCGATACGTTGGGTTTTTCGATCGAAACGAATACATTTTAAACACGATCGCTGAAACTCGAAGAACGAGACCCGATTATCGAAATCGATTCCGAGTCGTAAGAATCGATCCTGTCCCTGGTCGACGATTGGGTACGAGAGTGGTCGTTTTTTGATCGAAACGGGACGATGACGTTCCAGAAGGTGACGGCGGGGTGAAAAATCACCGTTGCGGTGGTAACGGAAGTGACGTGAAACCGGTGGAAGATATAGCACCGATCACAGACGGCTAGGAGTTGACGCAATCAATTATGTTCTGGCCGTCTCTCGCGAACGGCGTTACTGCTGCGGTCGGAAGTAACAGTTTATTACTACTGCAAACCCCGGCCGCAAGCGTACGTAATACACGCGCGCGTCGTTCGTCGAATGCCGTCGATCGCGATTATCGATTACAATCGACTGCTCGAGACGGTGCCTAGAATGGTCGAAATTAATCGACCAAGGGAAGAAAACGATCCGAACGAGGTATAGTTCGAACACTGTCACGGGTTCGAGTTACAGGGGTCGACGACTATAAACAAATCATATATTATTCATTTTGTATAAAGAGAATAGGAGATAAATTGTAATTAAGTTAGAAATTGTTATTGCAAAAACGATAATTTAAATATAGTTATGGACATATGGTCGAAACATTTAAAATAATATATAATATTGATATATTATACGTCGTTCTCCCCAAGACTGTCGTGACGGTCACTGATGACCGTCGAACTTGTGTGTTTCGAAATCGTATAGGAATATAATTTTTCTGAAATATTAAATAACTGATATTAGGAATGCGACAACAGTAGAAATATTTCTATTTTTTAAACTGTAATTTGAACAAGTGGCAAAGATATTGAAACATTGAAAAATGGCGTCGTAGTCGATGCGTAAGTACCTACGTAACTTTGATCGTTGTGCTAGTTACGTTAGATACGAGACAGTGACCAGTGACACAGGACGACGCTCTGTCGGGCATCGATGTCTCCGTGAGTTTGATTGTTTCGCTGCTCACTCCGTTCGTGTCACTGACGCTGACCTCGAAAGTTACACGACAGAATTTCAACGCTGAAAGTATTCCATTATTCTTTATTACAAATTTCTTACATTTAAAATAACCGCGGCGAGATGAGAAAGTCTTTGCGAAAACGAAAGTAATCTAAGTAGGCGATCCGCGTATTGTTTCAAATGTATTACGATTTACGTTCTGACTCGCAACCTGAAAAAAAAATACTGGCCATTGCGCGGCAATTTACAAAAATATATAGCCGGTTGACGCAGGGTTCTAACGTTTTAATGAGAATGCAAACGATTGCGAAAGATTGCTTTATAATATCGTGCTTGTAACCACTTGTTGTTCGAAACCGAAAGAAATTTTCGCGTTACGAATGCAAATAGGAACAAGCACCGAGAATAATAAACTTCGGAAAGCTATTGAATATATTAAAAACGATATGGAAAGGTTGAAAGGTAGACAATTACTAGGATAAATGGTACGAAGCGTTCTAAAAAAATATTTTTCGTAAGTCGATAAAGCGATTAGCTATGAATCTTTTGGTACTGGGTTCGAATCCCCGCCGAGTTATATTTTTTTTTTCTGTTTTTTTTTTTGTTATTTTGGAATGCAAAAATATATTTTATTTATTATGTATCTATAACATAAGTATTAAGATAAGGAACACTTACATTTTTAATACAAAAAACGGTAGTATG